GTCGCGACAGCGAAAATTGTGGGGGGGGGGGGGGGGCGCAGTGGGACAGAAGGACAGGGCGTAATGCACATGTCCGGTGTACTTGGATGAAGTGTGTTTGGTCATGTGTAGCATGTCCAGTGTCCACAGCTGGTTAAGGCCCACTTGTATTGCAGGTAATTGGTATCTCAGCAGTCTAATATACCCTCTACATCCTGCCTTGCTTTCCCTGCCTATGCGTGTCAGTTTTACCCGCCCATGAGGAGCCAAGTAATCAGTGTGTCAGCAGTCTAGGTTTTGATCCTCAGAAAATGAACTTATGGTGGGGCATGAGGACAATATCAGGAATCGCTGTACTGAGCCATTCATCTTCATTCTGGAGTCCAGTGCACTCAGTGGGCTGCTTTCCCTGCCCATGAGTGTCAGTTTTACTCGCCCATGAGGAGCAATGTAATTAGCGTCTCCGCAGGCTGGTTTTTCTATCTATATTGATCATGAAACTGTTGGTGCGGCTGGAGGACAATATCAGGAAATGCTGTACTGGGCCATTCAGCTTAATATGCCCTCTACACAGTGGTGGAACTATCGCCATAGCGACCCAGGCGGCCGCTATGGGGCCTAGGGCACAGGGGAGCTCGACCAGGAACAAAGGGGTCTCCCTGATGGCGTGCAGGTTGCCTGGGTCCATCACAGGCTGCAGGACTGTCGCTGGCGGCTGTGAGGAGGAACGCACCGCTGTCCAGATAACGGACAAATTGTAATCTGTGCAGCGGCACGTTCCTCCTCACAGCCGCTGCTGAGTCAGCGACAGACAGCAGCTGTGGTGAAGGAGGAGGCTGACAGGTAAAAGGTGTGCAGGGGTGTGACCAGCCCACCTTAGATCCTGCAGAGCCCACCATAGATAGTCTATGGTGGGCTCTGCAGGGTCACACTCAGGTGGGCTGTGTGGAAACTCGGGTGGGCTCTGCAAGGTGTCAGGTGGGCTGTGCGGGGTCTATAGTATCTGCGGGGGTCTCAAGTGGGCTGTGCTGGCTGTCAGGTGGGCACCGCAGGGCCTCTGGTGGGCTGTGCGGGGTATATGGTGGGACTTTGCAGCAGTAAAGTGTTCTGGAGGTAAGTCCTTTTTTTGGCG